AATACTCTTAGATTCATGGTATAGATGAGAATCCTCAGTCTAAGACAGAAAAAAATAACTTGTCTCAAACTAGAAACTCAAACTCAGTTTCTTTGACTCTGAAGCCCATAATCTTTGCCTTTGCCACATTTCTCTCCTTCTCTTCATTCAACCAATATTTACTGAGGATCTGTGATGTGCTGGGCTGTGCCCTAAGTGTTGGGGCTATAGTGATAGACAAGATGGAGGCCATCTTTGCTGTGTTATTACCCACATTTCCAACCACCTGATGTGAACTCTCCCTGGATAACCCACCTCAACTCACCAGGTTCCCAAACAGCCTGTCTCTAGAATCTTCTCTCCTGTCCTCCAGCCTTATCCCTCCCTTAGCAGGGTTCCTAATAAATGTTTTCTTGTATATTGTTCATGAAATGTTTTTGAGTGAGAGATTTCAAGATGGCCGTTGTACATGGGGCGTTATGAAAACCAATACCACAGATGATGGCTGGCCTTGTATTCGCATGGTAGCTGTCAGCCTCAAACACTTTTACTTTCTTTGCTTGTTCTGCCAAAAACAATTTAGGTGGCAGGCTGGGGAAAGAGTGCATGGGTGAGAGGCCAGATGAGGTGTGGCTGCATTCCACAGATTCGACTGGATTGGCGCTGGTGTGGTTGAGTGACCACACAAAGGCAGGCTGCTGCAGGGACGAGGCCCTCTTTCTGTTCAGATGTAGTTTTATAAGAAACAAGATTTTTTATTTTAAAATTCAAAATTTTAATTTTTAAATTCAAATTTAAAATTTGTTTTAAAAACAAGATTTTGTTTCGCATAAAACAAGTTTTATAAGAACCACTGCAAGGCAGCTTGGAGAATGCAGACACGCCATCCTGGAGCACCTCTTACCTGTCTGAGAGCTTCCTGTCTCTTGCTATCAAAGGGAATCATATCTTAAGAACATACACACACACACATGCATACAAACTCACACTCACACACAAGCTGGCTCCCAGACTTCGTATCCAGATGGCGTCAGAGAGAAAATACGGAGTGCAAAGTTGAACAGAGACTAGTGTAACATCTGCTGTCTTTATTACTGCATTTTTAAAGCGTTCCCTCGGGATGTGACTACGATGAAAAGCTGAGCAGGAACAGAAGCTTCAGCTTCTCAAACGTTGTCTTTGTGAGAATGTAGAAGGGGATGTGCGCACAAAAGACTAACGCATCCAGTCCACTTTACATTTGGCCCAGGTCTGAAGACCACAAATGTCACTCTTCTTTCACCAAATGAAGGAAATCGTGAGCCTCGGAGGCAGAAAGTTCTTGGGGACCTCCCAACCTGGGTCTCACTTACAGGCTCTGTTATGTCAGGCCTCCTGAGCCTGGTAAGTTGCTCAGCTTCTCTGAGCCTCAGTTTCCTCATCTAGAAAATGAGGGGGATAACACCTACAGACGGGGGTTTTGGGGCATTGAATGAGAGAATGGGGCAGAGTCACTGGCACATACCAGGTGGTCAATATGGTGGTTTCCATTGCCTTTTTGTACCAGGAAAAGAATCTCACATGTAAAGAGTTTACAAAAGGAATTTTTGACCTCCCTCCACAACCAGTCTGTCTCGAACACCTACTATGGAAGTCGTGGGGCAGCAGGTGCTTTAGATTTCTCAGCCAATGTCAGTCTAACAACAACCTTTAAAGACGGTGTCATTATTCCCACTGTCGAGATGAGTCCCTGAGCTCAGACGGGTTACATAACTGAGCCAGAGGCCTTGGGTGGGAAGCAGGAGAGGCAAATCTCTAGCCCAGGTCCAGCCGACTCTGTCACGCTGGAGTAAACCTCCTCCCGGCTCTGCCGGTGGCTGAAGGTCATGAGTGAGCAGAAGATCCATCAGCTTCCTGGGCTGGAGGGGATCTTAAGAGGGCTGTGGGTCTGGTCTGGAGTGTTCTCCAATGTCTACGTCAACCAGACCAGACCAGGGTTATTACACAATGATCCCTGGAAGCGTTTAACAGTCTTTTCCTGTCTCAGGACTGCATCGAATTGAGATGTCTCACTGGGGGAGGGGAGTCAGAGGGCTGACAATCTGTGTGGACCTTAAGGGAAAATGACCTTCCTGAGGTGTGGCTAGGAGGAGGTTGGGGAGGGTCCGGGATGTTGGTTCAGTTCTCTTGGGAATGGGGGTAAGGTGCACAGGTGGGTCCTAGGCCCTGTCCTACAAGAACACTGCAGTCTTTGATGTTTCTGAACACACCAAGCAGGATCCAGTCATTGGAATAGAAGCACCACACAGAGTGGGATTTATTTTCTCCTTTCTTTGCTGTTATTTTCTACTCCCAAAGCATTGTCTGGCACATAGTAGGAGCTTATAGTAGGTAATAAATTAATGAGTTAATTAATTTCAGATGATTTGCACTGACTGTTCACACTGTTTGGAACATGCCTACCTGAGAGAGTCACCTGGATTAATTCCTCACTTCCTTAGGTCTAGGCTCAGAAGTCACCTCCACAGCGGCCTCCCCTGACCATCTCATCTATGACTGGTTACCCTCCATCACTGCTACCCGCTTCTCCTCCTTTACTCTTCCTCTCTATCCCTTGTATACTTCTGGGTTTATTGTCACTTTGCTTACTGGTATTTCCACGCGACAAAGCACCTATCCTCTGTGCACTGCCGTATCTCCAGCCCCTAGAACAGAGTCTGGCAGAGTCAGTGCCCAATATTACGTGTTGAATGAAGGAGTGAATGAATGGATGCATGCATACTCTGTGGGAAGAGCTTAGCACAGTGCCTGGTGCATAACAAGTCGGAGACAAATGTTAGTGTTGATGCTGTTGGTGATGACATCCAAATGTCACTCTGAGCCTGTCACACTCAGTATTAGCCATTGACAACCCTCTGTGTTGGTTCTGGTAGGTTGGTGAGTGTAAAAGGCCACACTTCCACCCAACCTGCCATTCCTCCCTGCCATCGACAGAGACTCTAAATGACAGTGCTTTTACCAACTCCCACTCCTCACTTTGTGCTCCTTGTGGAATTGTGACAAGGCACTGGGGGCACATAATCCTCTCTCCCTAACTTTTGAATTAAAACACTTCCAGATCCTTCATACTAACAAGGAAATGACTAAGAGCTCCGTCATCCTCTCATCCCACCACTTTCCAGCCATGTGGCTTCTCCAATCTTCTGGGATTTCCTCAACTTTTTGCCTTTGTCCATGTTGTCATCTGCCTGAAGCACCCAATTCTGGCCCGTTTTCTACCTACAGAGGCTCTTTCCAAAATCCAGCTCAAGCAGCCTTCCTCCAGGAAGCTCAACCCGAGATCTTCTAGCAGTTTCTACCTCTTGTGTCTGTTTTTCCATGCTGCCTTTTCCCCTCTTCCATTGGAATCTTCATCACAGGGCACTGTACTTACCCAGGCCCCTCTCCCACAGGCCAGAAATGAGCTCCTCAAGGTCAGGACTCCTGCATAGGGGGCATGGTAAAGAGTATTGACTTAAGTCAGTGGAAGGCATTCCTCCAGTCTTAGGGCTTGGCTTGCAGACCTTTTGGGTTCAAGCTTGCCTCCCTTCTTATCATCTGTGAGACCCTGACAAGTGTCTTAATCATACCACGCCCCAGGTGTCCCACTTGAAATCAGGGATCCTAGTCATTACAGTTCAGTAAGTATCAAACACCATAGAACATTGGATGAAAGTAGAAAGATGCCAGAATGGGCCACTTTTGGAGATAATGTGGGAAGGGTGGGGAAGAGGAAGTTGTTCCTTAGGTATTTTTTCCACTGTTGTACTGGGGCTTCTTTATGAGATCATTGGAACCAGACATAGAGAAACCAAAGAATGGTTGGACCATTTTCTGAAAAACACCCAGAGCTTTATTATCTTTGTTAATTCAGCAGAAAGTGTATCACACTGAATTCACTTTGGCTCATTCAGCTCTAATACTTGTCATCATTGCTCATATACACATAGCTCTGTGGGGCATGGAAACATATACTCAGGTGAACAACCTCTGAAAATCACATGACTATAAAGTAAGTTCCAAAACACAACTACAAAAATTACAAAACCTGTTTAAATATTCCAATGTGCTCCTGTAGCACAAATGTTCATTTTGCTTGGAGAGCTTTACAGCATATTGACGAGATTTGACATAACAACTCCTAATGGATTCTGTTCTGTTTAGACCTGTTTAGCATGTATTGCTCTGAAACATGGTGAGGAAGAACAGGCAGAAGGAGCTCCAAGACTCTCCACAGTAGTCCAGAGCTGTCTTCCTCTGGTTTACCATGTCTGGGTCATCCACACACTCGGGATTGTTGATGGCCATAGTTTGGGTCTCCATTGGGCTGGTGGGGGTGTTCTCTTTGACCTTGATCTGCTCCCTGGAAGAAAACTGTTTGACCTTGTTAGGCTCCATGAAGGATGCCTCAGTGACCTTGCTCTGCTTGCTAGGTGAGGGCTCCATATACTCCTGGCTGGGTTTCTTGCTGTCAATCAGAGTGGAGTTCACTAGCTTGAGATTGGATTCTGGAAACTTCTTTCTACACACCCTGGTCTTCAGGACGCTCTTGGAGTCTCCACAGATGGCCTTCTGAGAGCGCAGACTCCGGCCAATTTGTTTCCAATACATATTCTTTTTGTTCAACTCTAGGCATGAGGTTGGATTGCCAGTAAAGACACAGGAAAACTTCTTTTCCTGTTGGGTGCACTCAATCTTCAGGGAGATGCCCTTCCCCAACTCAGTCACCACCCACCTGCAGTCGGCATGGTCTTGGGTGACAAACTTGCCTTTCTTCAGGTGTTTGACTGGCTGGCTTCTCTGCTCAATCTGGGGGTTTCCCAGAGTGTGCAGTTTATCCGTCGTGGCTTTGCTGACATGTTGGTTCTGTATTTCCTTTTGGCCCTCCACCAAGAATACCTGAGCGGCCAGAAGGAGGAAGGGCAGCAGGGTGAGGCTGTGGATTCTCATGGCTTCAGCTTGGAGGAACCTGTTTGACAAAAGGTGGGTGAGTCAGTGCTGGGCAGCAGTTCAGCAGTGCAGGGCTGCAGGCTGACCCTCCCTCCCCGCGCACACAGGACTGCCTGCCGGCAGTGAGACTAAACATCCTTCTGGCTCCTGGATACTAGACAAGCAGCCCAGCCATTTACATTTCTGTTTGACTTGAGTCTTGAATGTCCAGAACCTCCTGCTCTTCATTCATTCCTTTGTCACTCTCTGAGCCTCCTTAACTCTCACTGCCTCATTCACTCCCTCATTTACTCCTGCGTTTGCTTACTCACTCCTTCAGTCACTCTTCAACAAGCATTTATGGAGCAGCTACTATATACTTTCAGTAGACTAGATGTGGAATCTATCAAGGAGAATAACAAAGTTGCAGGTCTTAAAAACTTACAGGTAACTCTTTGTGGAATTTAAGCAGCAGTAGCAGGAGTCTCTCCCAACTGTGTCTCCGGCTAGATCTTAGGCAAATCACTCTCTCCCTCTGCATCTCAGTTCTTTTAGTGGACACTGAAGTGTTGGAAATGACAGCTGCAAACTCTCCTTACCTCCAGAGTGCTGGACTTCTAACTCATGGTTCCACAGGGACAGACCACCCACGAGGAGAAAGGATGTGGTAAGTGACATGAAAGGTGATGTCTGATCCCAGGCTAAACCTGCATGGGGTGGGACTCTCTGAGATGCGTGGGTTTGTGAGGGGGCATTTGGGATGCAGTAAGAGTCTAAGGAAAAGCACAAGGGAGGGGAGCTCATTCAGGTTGACTGGGCAAACGGAACCAGGGGGATGGGGTGCACTTCCAGCAGTCATTTACACAGCAGCGTTGAAGAGGGGGGATCGTGTGTAATTGATTTCTGGAGCTCTGCTGTGACACAGTGCTGGGCACATAAACCCTCAGTCAGTGCTTTTAAAAATATATCATTGAATAAATAGGCTGACCTAAAATGCTACACTAAACTGCATGGATTTCATCACGTGGGCAATAAAAAGAAACACGCTTAAAAGGAGAAGAGAAATAGGATTTCTATTTGACCCCTACTATGTGCTGTGTCCTCAATCAGCATTCAGAGTCTCACCTCGTTTAATCCACTCAAGAGCCTACCTGATAGGTGATGATAAACCACCCCTAGGTAACAGATGTGACAGCTAAGGCTCAGACCAGTAAGTAAACGGCTCAAGGTCCCATAGTGGGCAAGTGATCAAGATGGAACAGGCACTCAGAACTTATCCTGTAGACCAACTCTTATTGATGGATTTTTGCCTTTATCTTTACTTTTCAGAAAATATTGGCAAGAAATAAAAAAGCAATTATGAACAACTCATAATTTGGTTTCTTAGTTCATGGTGATAAAACAATTATATTGTCAGGGCTCCATTTTCATTTTCCTGCTTTTTCTCCCCAAATCCCCCAAGTGCATAGTTGTATATTTCAGTTGTGGATCCTTCTAGTTGTGGCATGTGGGACACCCCCTCAATGTGGCCTGATGAGCGGTGCCATGTCTGCGTCCAGGATCCGAACTGGCGAAACCTTGGGCAGCCGAAGTCCAGCAGGCGAACTTAACTACTCAGACATAGGGCCGGCCCCAGGGCTCCATTTAAAAAAAAAATATATAGAATTTTTTTTAAAAAGAGGCAGGCCCAGAACAATGGCCCACATCTCATTTCCACCCTGGGCATATGGCCTCCCCTTATGATAGAGAAAGGGAAGACAGCCACAGGCAGGTGGGCTCCTGAAATGAAGAGTGGGACAAAGGTTGGGTATACCACACAGAGGCCCACTCATTCCTCAGGGCATTAAGACTCAGCCCCCACATGTCCCTGGTGGGCTCCCGACCCCGGGAACCTGAGGTCCTTGGGGGAGCTGTAAGGGGGATGGAATGAAGGTCTTAGGAGAGCCAGGCTCTTACCTTGCTCAGAGTGTGCAGATCCAGTGCAATCCCAGATGCCAGAGGGAGCCTGCAGGCTGGCAGCTGTCTCGTCTGCAGTGAGAGGCAGGGGAGGCCCTTTTTATAGGAGCCAGGCAAACAGCATTTTACAACGCACGTACCTGTGCAGTTTTATCACATTCCTCCCAGCCACACCCCTTTGGGAGGAACAGTTCGTGCAGGAAAATGGGGGACTATTTGGACGTTGACAAGATAAAGCTGCATGATCCTCAGGGAGATGGAGATGAAGGTGGACTCTGAAAACAGGAGAAGCTCATCTTGATCCTCAGGAGGCAGCCAGATTCTTTCCAGAGGAAGGACTACATCCTCCAGAACACAAAGAAACTTTAGAAGGAAACAGGTGGACTCCAGGATCTTTTCTGAGAAGTGTCTCTAAGCTTTGCAGGTAACGTGGAACTGCCCCCACTGGCTTCCCCGGACCTTCCGCCTTCCTGTGCGCCCGTCCCCACTTCTCCCTTGATCTTTCTATTCCAAAACAGGGGGCACACTATTAGACAAGGCTGTGTAGCCCTTTCTCTGTTGGCTCAGCCTGTCATTCCAAACTCATTTCCAGACACACACACACTCCAATCTGGCCACAGTAAACCACTCGCCCAATATGTTGGTGCACTCGCTTCTTTCCTGCCTTTATTCCTGCTGTTCCCCTTACCTGGAATGCTCCTCCAGTCCCACTTTCCCAGGCACACATCGGCTCATCCTTCAGGATCCAGCTCAAATGTCATCTCTTCTCTGTTGGTGTCATTGGTCTCATGATCCTGCCTGTACCCTCCCCAGCCCACCACCCCCCGTTTCATGAATGTTCGTGGAGAGAAATAGAGCCCCACCCCCAGTGAGTGTTTACAATGTGCCAGCATTGTGTTAAGGCTGTGTCCCCACATTGACTCACATCTTGATATACTGAGAAAATGATGCATGTCTACAGCGCACAGAGGAAACTGGAGAGAGCTTAGACCTCCAGCAAGACTTTTCTCAACAGGTTCCCACCAGCACCCCGCACTCCCAGGACCCCGGGCATCCCTGACTGCCGGAGAACTGACCGCATAAAGGCTCATCACTTTTTTTTCACAAGAACCCCAGGAAGCAAGTCCGTCCTGGATCCTCGTGGTACACGTGTGGAGCTGAGGCTTACAAGGCCCAAGCACATGCTGAGATACAATTTGAGAAGAATTAAATGGAGGCCATTTCTTATATTTTTATTAAAAACAAAGTAAACCTACTCATACTTTGATAAATTTTGAACTCTCTCTCTCTTTTCCTTCTTACTCCCTCATGCTTTAATATATATATTTTAAATATTCGAATAGCATTAGCTTACAAAATATTTGGTAAAGATAGTTCCCCTGACCCACGCATCTCACTCCGTTTCCCCATGGTTAACCTTTTACATAATAATGCTGCCTTTACAGACTATTGCGCCAATACCGTAATAGTGTGACAAGGTGCAGTTCATACTTTGTTCAGCCCTGCAGACTTTTTACCTATTGTTCTTTTCTTAATTATTACTAGACTTTATTTATTTATTTATTTATTTATTTTTTAAAAGACTTTACTTTATTTTTAAGAGTAGCGTTTGGTGTCCAGCAAAATTGAGCAGAAAGTGCAGAGCCCTCCCATATATGCCCTGTCTCCCCCTGACAAAGCTGCCCGCAGTGTCAGTATCCTCTACCCGAGGGGAAGATACAGTCGATGAACCTTCCTTGACACATCACGATTACTCAAAGTCCACAGTTTCTGGAATAGTTCACTGTTGATATTGTACAATCATGGGTTTTGACATATGTATAAGGACATGTTTCCACCATTGTAGTATTCTACAGAGTAGTTTCACTGCCTCAAAAAGCCTCTGAGCCGCACCTTTTCACCCCTCCCTCCCCCCGATACTGGATGTCTCCAATCTTTTTACTGTTTCCATAGTTTTGTCTTCCCTATATCATATTGTTGGAATCAGGATTTATTCTTTTCAGATTGGCTTCTTTCAGTCAATAATACAATTTTAAAGTTCCTCCATGTCTTTTTACGTCCCTTTAGTTGAATAGTACTCCACTGTCTGGATGTACAGAGTATTTATCCATTCACCTCCTGAAGGACATCTCATTTGCTCCAATGTTTTGTCAATTATCAGTAAAGCTGCTATAAACATCCATGTGCAAGTTTTGATATGAACATAAGCTTTCACTCCCCAGTGGTCTTTTCTGTCCAGCATCTGATTCAGATTCCACATGACATGTAGGAGTCCTGACGCCTTAGGCTCCTCTTGGCTGGGACAGTTTCTCAGACATTCCTTGTTTTTGATGACCTTGAGAGTGTTCATGAGTGCTGGTCAGAGGTTTTGAGGATGTGTCTCTTTTGCTGGTCATTTTCTTGTGAGTAGATTGGGGTTGTGCCATTCTTCTCTTCATCCAAGATTTACATGATGGAGAGCAGCTTTCCTTCTGGGGCTTCCATAGGAAGTCTGAACACAGTGGGAAACTAGCCGCAGGTTAAGGCTGGTAGCTGAACGCATGTCTCATGCAGTCTGGTCGCAGGCAGGCAACTTCAAGTTCGAAAGCTGATTTCCCTGTCATGTGTGTCACTGTCACATGATTCCTTGACATAGAGGATTCGTGCCCGTGGGTGCAGTCACCAGAGGTTATATCAGTGGGTGCGACTTTGCTCTGAGCTGAGTCTTAACGGTGCCTTTTACCAGGCCAAATTTTGTCAAAAATCTGTCCCTCCTTCAAAAGTAACCTCATGTGTAGACAAAATCCTGAGTTGTTGGATCAGAGTGAGATTAGTTTGTTGGGACAAAGGATATGCATTAACAACTTATTCATTGTGAGAAAATGAGGAAATCCACTAAACAAATACCACATAAAATCCAATGAGGTGGCAGAAAGCATTCATCTTAGACCCCACGGACATTGTTGACATTCCAAATTCAAAACGCTCCTTAGTCCTGGGATTTCAGAATTCCTGTACAACACATCAAACAGTGCATAGTGCTAAAGTTTTACTTTAGAAAAATAGAGACAGAGAGGAGTTGATTGTGGGGTATTTGGTACGAATGCAAACTGAAAATCTATTAAAGTTTATTTATCTTAAAGGAACGCCCTGTGTTATACCCCGTAATATTGAACCCACTCGGTTCTGTTTCTGAATCCATCTAAAAAGTAACTTGCAGAGTTTATTTAAATTAAACTAAATGAAATTACTGTTTGTTGTAGGATAAATGATAGAATATCGGCATTTTTGAATATATCAACCTATAATAAAAGTTAGGTTTTTTTTCTCAAGTAATAGAGTTGTGTCAAAGCCTTATATGTTCTTTTAAAAAATTGTTTTTGGTTTATTTTGTAACAAACTCTCCACACAAGGTAAGTTCATTGATCATCTCTGGATTACCCACATCTGTTCTTTTGAATAAATCACTCTAAAACGTCTTAGACATCCTTTAGAGAAGTCTGCTTCTTTTGCATAAAACGTCACATATGGGTATGCACATGTAGGCACACTTGCCACCTTTGCATCGTGGGGGAGAATGAAGTCCTAGAGAGGCCGCCTTTGGGATTTTCAGTGTCTGTTTGTCACAAAGAGAGCCAGTTGCCACCCTGGGAAGCTGGAAAAGGGAGAAGACCATGCCTTTCTCTGTGTTAGTGCTGCGAGTGACGACGCACGTGTGAACTGCAGCTGCTGTCACACGAAGAAGTGAAGGTGTTTAGATGAAAGGCATCAGAAAACAGCTCTGAACAGGCCTGTGAGGGCACCCGGGAAGATGGCTCCCCCACTCAGAGAGCAAAGCGCTTTCAGCTGCTGTGGGCTGTTTCAGGGAGGACAGGGACGGCAGAGGAAGAAGACACTGGGTGGCTCTAGGAGACCAGGGCTGATCTCCAAACAGACCTCATTCATTCTGCCACTCATTCATTCATTCTGTCATTCACTCATTCTTCCATTCATCCAAAGAGCACTCATGAAGCACCTAATGTCCCAGGCTGTCTGTCATTGACTAGAATGCAGTCAAGGTGACATGGTCCTCGTTCTCAAAGAGATGGCAGATAGTAGGGAGAAAGACAAGGATACCTATCATAACAATATACAGGTAATTGCTATGTTGGAGGGAAGCCTGGGTGCTCAGGGTGGGGACATCTAACCTAGCCAGTGGCAGAGAGAATTTCTCAGGAGTCTGCAACTGGATAACAGACAACTCAACCGCTGGAGGAAAAAGGACTATATTTATTCAATCATCCTTCAGTAACCACTCTCTGCAAAGTGGAGTATTAGTCACTGTAGGGATGCAAAGGTGAGTATGATTTGCCTTCCGCCCTCAAGACTGGTCTGCACAGTTCACAGCTCACTGTCTGATCATTGCTGTAGGTGACGTCCTCACTTTCCAGCCCCAAGCCTCTAATCGTTTTTCATCTGCTTACAGAATGAGATCCAAATTTCTCAGTCTGACATATGAGGACTTTCCCTTCGTGATCCCAGCCATTTCAAGGTCAGTACCCAGCACACCCTACATACATATCCTTGGGCCCCAGCTACCTCTGCCTGTCTACTCTGCCCCACCCCCTGACATATCCAGCTGTTTCAGGTGACATTGCCTCTGCCGAACAGTTATCTTAGCCTAAAATTCCATTCCACCCCTATCTACCTGGCAAATTCTCTCTCTACCTTGACTCCCTGTGTTAACAGTGGAATTCCTTATTCTTCATCTGTGTCCTTATAAGTTTTTATAGACTTCACCATCATTGCAGTAGACTTGTCACCTTGCTGTGGTCCATTTGTGTGCTTCCAACCATCATCATTATGGGGAGTGACATCTCTAGCCTAGATCTCAAGCATGAAGCTTAGAAAGTATTTAGCAAAAATGTATTGAATTGAATTGAATTTTCTTTCATCAGTATGATTCTGATTGTAATAACAAAAAGAAAAGTGAAATCAACAGAAACAAAATTTGGAATTTATTATAAGTTTCTTATAACTCACAGAAAACAAGAGTTGTGTAGGACCACTGTTTCAAGATATATCTTTGGGATTTTAGTTTATTGAGGTGATTGAGAGACTAATGCACTGAAAGAAATCTATAACTTACGTTTCCCAAGGGAAGGGAGCATACCACACCATGTGGGTCACGGGGGAATCACTGGGTTTGGGTCAGGAGGCAAAAACAGGAGGGAGGGGAAAGCCTAGGCCGGAGCCCTCAGTGTCATTATTTGAGAGAAAGGCCCTTCCCTTTGAATATTTCAATATGACACAAAGGCAGGGCAGATCAAACAGGTTAGGATGGGCCATGGTGAATAATCCTGGTGGGCTTGGAACATATTAGCTAGCCATCTAATATCTGGCCATAAGTTGACTTAAGGCAGGAAAAAATATTGGCTTGGTGTCTAGAGTTCATAAAGGGGAAGATTGGCTGCATATGGGAGGTGAGCCCCCAAGTAAGCTATTATCTTTAGGAATCAGCTGGCCCTGGGAGAGGCAGTCTCTCCCTGGGTCTGTAGGTCTTCCAAGATGTCAAACATCATAAGAAACAGATCATAAAATACATGATGAATACAACCACCTAGACACATGGAGAGTTGGAGACTTGAATATCACCAACACACTCGTTCTCATATCGCATCTCAGTATTCTCCACCTATGTGCTCTGTTTGCTCAGTCAGCTTTTCCCACATGGTTGGAAACATGGGTGTTAGCAGCTCTGAGCTGAGCTGCACTATGGAAAATCTACAGGAGAGACTGTGGTAGGTTGGGATGGAGTCACGTTCCCGCCATTGGACTCAAGACCCTGGTGAAGCGCAGGATTCTGGGGTGAACAGCCCAGTCCCCTGGAATACATAGCTGGATTTTGGGGAGACTCGACTGTTGTCAAAGATGTGGAGAGTTGTCCCCAGCAGGGGGAGACTCTGTAGGTTTCATGCCTGCACTGGAAGAAAGTCATGGATAAGGTAGATGAAGAGATGCGCAGGAGGGCATTCTAGAATTCACCTGAGGCTGCCCCCAGACCTATGGCTCCCTATCTCTAGAAGATGAGGACCCTTTACTGACACCCACACCCTGGGCAGACCTCCACATCACAGCACTCACACATTTAATAAAAGTGATTGAGCAATGACATGGTGGTGAGAGTGACAGAAGCTCTCCCTTGAGCTGTTACTCTGAGCAGTTTGCACGCTGGATCTTACTTAATCCTTGCCCCGTGCTTAGGAGATCGGTGCTACGATTATCCACATTGTAGAGAGGAGGGAATTAAAAATCACTCAAGGCCAGACAGCTAGTGACTGGTGAAGCCAGGGCTCTAAAAAAGGACACTGAGACTCTAAAAACTCCGTGCACTTCACCTAGACTGCTGTCAAAGGTGCCACAGAGCCAAGGGGAGCTTGGTAATGTAGTTGGATGTGCAGGTGATTTACCACGATACTGGCCAGTGGCCTTTGAACGTGGGTTGTTTATCTATTTAAAGATCTATCACTAATTTAAGGGCCTCACGTGTGCCTGTAGCATCTGCCCTTCAAGCCTTACACTCTCTCTATCCTACCCCATGACTGGCCCTGTTGTGGGGCCCTTTGGAACCAGCAGTTAGAGAGCTCTGAGACCACACAGCCTGTCACATCCAAATGAGAGATAGAAAGTCTGCTCTGGGACTGGGAGAGGGGATAGGCACAAGGAACACTGTCCCCAGCCCATCCAGGTCACGATCTCACAACTTACAGAGCTTTTCAACTATGGGAGAGTCAAGCTCTAAGAGTGACAGTGTCATCTGAGTGTGACAGTGGGGGAGGGAAGAATTCGACTTCAGCCAACATTGGGCCATGTTGGGTTTAGTAACGTGCTCCTTTCTTCTCTCAACTTCAAATGATCTAGAGGCAGAAAAGGGATCAGTCACCTTTTCTCAGTTTCTCTTTATAACTATCATCTGAATTAATTTAATGAATGAGTTTGCCTTAGACTTAAACTTGTTCTAATCAACTTTTACCACAAATTTTCATGCTTGAGGGTTATGTTCAGGCTGGTCGAGGCTAATGACCTTCGCAGTGTGATTGGGAGACTCGTGTTCCCAGTTTTCAGGAGCACTGTTGACTTCAAGTTGTCACCAGGTGGTGACACTATCCTGGAAGACCTGGTTGGGACGCGAAGAGCTTTTTCTTCCCCTTTGAGTATTTCAGTCTCTTTTCTGCCTGGGTGATCATCACACTGCACATCCACGTGGCACAGTCATTGTTAAAGCCTTCACTGTATAGTGTTACATTAGACCCTTATAACAACTCTATAAGGAGTGGCCATTATTTAGGCCCGAAATCAAGAGGATAAAACTGACTTCAGTGACCTCCGTAAGGTCACAGAGCTCATTCCTTTCAGTTGCACCCAGATCGCCTGCTCCAGGGGCCGTCTTCTTTCTGCTATGACAGAAAAGAATGAAAAGTGACCCTGGAATCCAATACTAAGCCTGACAGTGACTGAGTGCAGGATTCTGGGAAACTCCAGGACAGAAATCCTGGTAAGACTTCAGCTCTCAGCCTGGCCTGGCTTGGCTTCTAGAAGCAGAGGGGACATGAGAAAGGAAGGAGAGGCAGAAAGGGAACAGACGCTCCATGGGAGGTGTGGGGTGTAGGGTGGGGAATTCAAAGGCTGGAGAGGGATGGAGAATATATCTTTGCATAAAACTGGTCATTGTCTTTAATAGGTCTGAAGTCTTTTCCAACTCTAATTTCTAAAGCATTGATAGATGTATGACTTCAGGGGAACATAAAAAATATGTATTATTAAAGGAACAGCCATAGACCTCCAAGCTGCCTCTAGGATGGCATCAGACAAGTTCTACAGGCAGAAAAATATCCTTTAAAGGGTTCCTTTATGCTGATGATAAAGTGCGATCATGATCATGCTGGCGCTCAGAGGCCTGGATAAATTTGCAACTAGACAGACAGCAAGGAATTTTTCATGCTCACATTTTTCTTAGCCATTTTATTCAGAGAAGTTTGACCCCAAGCACAATTTATGCATCTCTCAGGCATTTCTCAAATCCTCCCTGCAGACGGTGGGCTGGTTGTCAAAAGGTCAATAATTGGCCCAGAGTCACATTGGCCCCACATTCAAATAATCTTCGGGTCATTGAATATGAGAAGAGGAACAGGCACGAGAGATGATATGGATCAATTCCATGAGTTTAAATTCATTAATAAAATTAATTGGATGAATACTTACTGATTGCTTAAATGGAACTCCTACAGGGTATGTGTCACTGACAAGGTTCTAGAGCCAATGGAGTAGCAGAGTGTATTAGCTGAGTAAAGCCAGATGCTAAAAAAATAAAGCCACAACCCTGTGGGCTTAACACACTGGAAACTCATCTCTTCCTAACCTCAAGTCCAAAATGGATGTTTTCACAAAGGATAATGATGAACAAAATTCAGTTGTTGCCTCTGTAGTCCCAGTCTTGTCAGACTTTGGGACTGTAGCTAAACTGACCATCCGTTTTGGACGTATTCTGACTGGACATGGCTGATGCCTTTTCTCAGTCTCTTTGGCACAAAGTGTCAAAGACCAGTGTGCCTGGAAGATCCCCTGGACCTACAGAAGATGTTTACTGTCCTGCCACAGGGGCACCTGAATTCTCCTATTTGCCACCAAGGATGGGCAAAGTAATGGGACAAGGCTTCTCCCCGCAGGGGGTGACTACACTGATGATGTCGTGCTGGTAGGTTCCAATGCAGAGCAGGTGGCAGCCCCTTAGGAGTCGACTCTGACTCATTAGTCCTGAGGATCAGGGACCAGCCATCTGTGTCAATTCTTGGAAGTACTGTGGGATGAGGCTCAAAGGCTGATTCCTGAGATGATCATAGAAAAGTTACTCACCCTACAGACTCCATGACCAAAGCAGGAAGCCCAGACGTGGACTGTTTGGGGACAGGAGGCAATATGTGCCTCATCCAGGTATTTTGTTGAGCCGGGGGAACAAGTTGACCTGAAAATCTGCCAAGTTTACCTGGGGGCTGGGTAGCAGCTGTGGGAGAGGGAGTCCCCAGGCTACCTACCCTGGAGTCCTGTTAATCCCAAGGATCTTGGTGAAATCCAGTCTCTGATACTGAGAACTACTGTGAGTGCAGCCTCTGGCAAAGGGAGGCAGCCTCTGCCCAGCCACCCCTTAGGGTACCGACTTCTTGAGGACATGGCTCCCAGCTCTACTCCACTTGAGAAAGAGCTCCTGGCCTGCTCTTGGCCCTTGTGGAGACCAAGTGCCTTAGAGAGGACTGCCAGGTATTGTTGTGTCCAGGTATCCCCATCCTGTAATGATCCCCTCAGATGCTAAAGACAGAGGTAGAAAGGCAAACAGATTTCTCATAAAAAATGGAAATGGCACATTCCAGAACAGCAAGTCTGGTCCCACAAATAAGTGCCCTTTACAAATAAGGTTAAGGCCACATCCTCCGGGACCCATTGTATCTTCCTTGATGACTCACAGGGACAGCCTTTGGCTACCTGGAGATGCCTCCCAGGAAGCCCTGAGGATGCTTGGGCCTGGTTACTGAAGGCTCATGCCAACTAAAAGCTGATGGAGTCCACTGTGTGGCATCAGCCATCAGCCCCAGTTACAGCCCTGAAAGACGTACGGGGGTAGAACCCATCAGCAAACTGTCTAAATTGAAAGCATCGCCCTTGCCTTAGACAATATATTTAAGGACCAGGTAAGCCCTTTTTCTCCTCTTTTTGTGTTCTGCATAGCAAACTAGTTAGTGGTTGACAATGAGAAGTATATTAAAGACACCCTTCTATGGAGCTGTGTGCTCTGGAAAGCCGCTGATGCAGCCTGGCATGACGTGTTTTTTTTTCCCCCATATGGATGCCCATGTGAAGGTGCGTACCCAAATGAGACTGAATGGAACAATGCGGCTGATTGGGCCTGCATAGCCAGGGTGACCAGCATCAGTACCTCCACCCATTATTCCACTAGATATAATAGCCTTTCCACTAACTCAATGGATTCTAAAGATGGGCCTCCATATATATGCTAAGGAGGCTGGAATGGTCTATCACGGCTGTGGTACCCATCAGCAGTTGATCTGTCTGTCTGAAGATGACCAAAGACTCACAGGTCTAGGGTTGGCCCCTGTCCATTTTTGGCATATAGAGCACGCTTGTCCTCTACTGCCATCATGTGGCTACCACTGGCATCTCTTGGTTTGGACAGTAACACCATAGCTGGAGTTGGCAATCTGTGTCAGTGGCAGATTTGGGCCACGCCATAGTAGCACTAGAGACCAAGCTCTGCCATATTTGTGGATATCTGGATCACCTGTAGTCGCTGCCACACTCTTCACAGCAAAGGGCCCTTGACAGTGGGCTGGCTGATGAACATGACATTCAACAGACATTTTACCCCCTTCTCATTCTCACGCTGGGGGCATCAACTCTAGATGGAATAAACTTTAAAAGACTGGACAGGAAAAGATTGTGGGACAGACCAGCATCATGGACTACCCATATAGCCAGACAGTGTGAGCCTTAATACAGCTGTTCCTCAGAGTGAGCATTCCTTTTGAAGCCACTGCTGGAGAGTCTTAGAACAAAGGAGGTAGGGGTATAAGGAGATGGGCTCTTCACAGCCATGATTCTACCCTAAAAACTCCAGCCAATGCTCTTTCTTCTTTTTTTCAAGCAACCCTACAGTGTGGAACTTCTGATGAGTTTCATCGTCAGGTGGCATCCTCGGTGACAACGTGAGGAAGATATTGCTTGCACCACTAGCTGCTTTTCATTGTTCGATATGGAATCACACACCACGGGAATTATGGTCAGTAGATAGAATTTGTAAAACCTAGGGTATTCTCACTCTGGCTCACTTGGTATGCAATAGGCAATATCAATAGGCAACACAGTAAGTTCTCCTATCGTGCCCTAGCCCCATGGTTCCAACCCATCTGGATGAAAAATCTGGGTGGGGGTGGGTAATTTGTTGGCTAAGGGAGACGTAGTGATTGCTAGATTAGGATACACAGATCATGTCGTCATGAAGGGAAAGTAGCACACCCAGCACCTGGGGAGAAAACACCTTTTACATTTAGGTCTGTAATTCATTTCAGTTAATGTTTGTCTGTGAAGTGAGGTCATGGTCGATTTGCATTTATTTCTCATGGATTTGCAGTTGTTCCAGGGTCATTTGGTGAAAAGCCTTTCTTTTCCTTTACATTAAAATTTTTTCTACTTGTAGTAAAATACACACCACATAAACTTTACCATCTTCACCATTTTGAAGTGTCCGGTTCATTAGTACTGAGTACATTCATATCGTTGTGCAACTGTCACCACCATCCATCTCCAGGCCTCTTTTCTTCTTGCAGACCTGAAACTTAATACCCATTAAACAATAATTTCCCATTCCCACCTCCTTCCAGCCCCTGAAAACCACCCTTTTACTTTCTGTCTCTATGATTTTGACCACTCTAGGTACCTCATATAAGTGAAATCATATAGTCTTTATATTTTTGTCACTGGCTTATTTTTCTTAGTATAATGTCCTCATGGTTCATTCATGTTGTAGCATATGTTAGAATTTCCTCTCTTTTTAAGGCTGAATAATATTATTGTATGTAAATACCACATTTTTCTTATCCACTCATCTGTTGATGAACATTTAGGTTACTCCCACATTTTAGCTATTGTGAATGATGCTGTTATGAACAATGGTGTACAAATATCTCTTAGAGATCTTACTTTCAATTCTTTTGAGTATATACCTAGAAAAGGAATTGCTGGATCATATGGTAATTCTAATTTTAGTTTTTTTTTTTTTTTTTAAAGATTTTATTTTTTCCTTTTTCTCCCCAAAGCCCCCCGGTACATAGTTGTATATTCTTTGTTGTGGGTCCTTCTAGTTGTGGCATGTGGGACGCTGCCTCAGCGTGGTTTGATGAGCAGTGTCATGTCCGCGCCCAGGATTCGAACCAACGAAACACTGGGCCGCCTGCAGCGGAGCACACGAACTTAACCGCTCGGCCATGGGGCCAGCCCCTCTAATTTTAGTTTTTAGAGGAAATGCCATACTGTTTTCTAGAGGGTCTGTACCATTCAGTTTCCTGCCAAGAGGGCACAGGGTTCTGATTTCACCACGCCTTCACCAAAACCTGTCATTTTCTGTTTTTTTTGATAGTAGTCATCCTAATGGCTGTGAAGTCCTAAATCATTGTGGTTTTGATTTGCATTTCCCTAATCATTAGTGATATTGAACACTTTTCACACACTTATTGGCCATTTGTACATCTCCTTTTAAGAAACGTCTATTCAAGATTTTTGCCTATTTTCACATTTTGTTGGGGTTTTTTTGGTTGTGAGTTTTAGACGTTCTCTAAATATTCTGGATATTACTTCCTTATCAGATATAGGACTTGCAAATATTTTCGCCCATTCTGTGGGTTGCCTTTTTACTCTATTGATAGTGTCTTTTGATATACAAAAGTTTTTAGATTTCATGAAGTCCAGTTTGTCAAATGTTTCCCTTTGGTGTCATACCCAAGAAATTGTTGTCAAATCCAACATAGTGCAGGTTTTTCTCTACTTTTCTTCTAAGTGTTTATAGTTTTAGCTCACACATTTGGGTCTTTGATCCCTTTTGATTTGATTTTTGTCGATGGTGCTAGGGAAGAGTCCAGCTTCATTCTTTTGCATGGCTATATCTGGTTTTCCCAGCAGCATTTGTTAAAGTGTGGCCCTTTCCCATCGAATCGTCTTGGCGTCCTTGTTGAAAATCATTTGAAGGGGTTTATATCTGTGATCTGTATTTTAATCCACTGGCCTTATGTCTGTTTTTTCTTCCAGCATCACACATTTTTGATTACTACAGGTTTGTAGCAAGTTTTGAAATTAGGAAGTTTGAGTTCTCCAGCCTAATTCTTTTTTAAGATTGTTTAAGCTATTCAGGGTCCCTTGAGATTCCAAATGAATTTTGGGATGAGTTTTTGTATTGCTGCAAAAAACACCATTGATATTATGATAAGGATTACACTGAATCTGTAGATCACTTTGGATAGTATTGACATCTTAAAAATATTGTCATTCAATCCGTGAACATGGGATTTTTTTCCATTTATTTAGGTCATCTTTAATTTCTTTCAACAAAGTTTTGTAGTTTTTATTCTAGAAGTTTTTCACCTCCTTGAGTAAATTACTTCATAAGTATTTTATTCTTATTGATGCTATTGTGAATGGAATTGTTTTCTTAATTTTCTTTTCAGATTGTTCATAGTTAGTATGTAGATAAGCAACTGATATTTGAGTTTTGACTTTGTAACCTGCTACTTTGCTGAATTTATTTAACTCCAACAGCTTGCGTGTGTGTGTGGATGTGTGTGTAATCTTTAGTTTTCTGCATGTAAGATATCAATAACATATAGAGAAAATTCTACTTCTTCCTTTCTAGCTTGGGTGCCTTTTGTTTCTTTTCCCTGCCTAAGGGCATGCCATAGAACCTCCAGTACAATGTTGAATAGAGTGGTGAACCTGGGCATCTTTGCCTTGTTCCTGATCTTAGAGGAAAAATTTTTGATCTTTCACCATTAAGTATGATGGTTGCTGTGAGATTTTCATATATGGTGTTTGTTACGGTGAGATAGTTTCCTTATCTTCCTGAGCTTGTTGAGTGTTTTTTATTATCAAAGTATATTGAGTTTGGTCAAATACTTTTCTATCATCAATTCAGATGATTGTGTGGTGTTCTTTTCCTTTTATTCGGTTAATGTGGTGTATTACATTGACCAATTTTCATATGTTGAACCACAGGGTCATGGCATAGAATTCTTTTACTATGCACTGAATTTGGTCTGCTAATATTTGGTTGAAGATTTTTGTATCAATGTTTATAAGAAATATTGCTCTATAGTTTTCTTTTCTCATAGTGTCTTTGTCTGACTTTGGTATCAGGGCATTGTAGACCTCACAGAATGAGTTTGGAAGTATTCTCTCCTTTTCAACTTTTTAGAAAGGTTTGAAAGGAATGATTTTAGTTCCTCTTTAAGTGTTGGTAGAATTCATCAGTGAAGGCATCAGATCCTGTGTGGTGTTTTTGGTCAAGATAGTTTTGATTACTAATTTAACCTCCTCACTAGTTAGAGGTCTATTCAGAATTTCTGTTTCTTTATGATTCAGTCTCGGTAGGTTTTGTGTTTCTGAAAGTGTTTGTCCATTTCATCTAGGTTATACAGTTGGTACAGTTGTTCACAGTGCTCTCTATAGCCCTTTTTCTTTCTGCAGAATTGGTAGTAATATCCCACTGAAGTTTCTGATTTGTAGTACTTAGAGTTTTCTTTCTTTTGTTTTTAGTCCGTCTAGCTAAAATTTGGTCAATTTTGTTGATCTTTTCAAAGAATCAACTTTTGGGTTCATTGGTCTTTTTGTTTGTTTGTTTTCCTATTCTCTATTTCATTTCTCTCTACTGTGGTGCTTATTATTTCCTTCCTTTTGCTAGTTTTGGGTTTATTTTGTTCTTCTTTTTCTGCTTTGTGAACTTGTTAGGTTAGATTGTTCATTTGAGATCTTTCTTCTTCTTTAACATAAGTATTTATACCTATAAATTTTCCTCTCAGCACTGCTTTCACTATGTCCCGTAGGTTTTAGTGTGTTGTGCTTTCATTTCATTCATCTGTAAGTATTTTCTAACTTCCTCTATGATTTCTTCTTTAACCCATTGGTTATTTAAGAATGTGTTGCATGGGGCCGGCCGCATTAAGTTCACGTGCTCTGCTTTGGCGGCCCAGGATTTCGCTGGTTCAGATCCTGGATGTGGACATGGCACCACTCGTCAGGCCACGCTGAGGCGGCACCCCACATGCCACAACTAGAAGGACCCACCACTAAAATATACAACTATGTACTGGGGGGATTTGGAGAGAAAATGCAGAAGAAAAAGAAAAGAAGATTGGCAACAGTTATTAGCTCAGGTGTTAATCTTTAAAAAAAAAAAGAATGTATTGCTTAAGTTCCATAAATTTGTGATTTTTCCAATTTTTGTTGTGTTTTTTATTTGTAAGTTAATTCTGTTGTGGTCAAAGAGAATATACTGTTTGGTATCTGTCTTTTAAAATCTATTCAGACTTAATTTGTGGCCTAACATATGGCCTATACTGGAGAATGTCCCGTGTTCACTAGAGAAGAATTTTGTTGGGTAGAGTGTTCTGTATATGTCTGTCATGTTTAGTTGGTTTATCTTGTTGTTCAAGTCCTCTATTTCCTTACTTATCTTCTCTCTAGTTTTTCTACCCATTATTGAGGGTGGAGTATTGAAATCTACAACTATTATTGCAGAACTGTTTATTTCTCCTCTCAACTACGTCAGTTTTTTCTTCATAGGATTTGATGGTCTGACGTTAGGTGCATAAATGTTTATAATTCTTACAACTTCTTGCCGTGCTCCTGTGCTGTGGTGCTACACAAGCGCTCTTACTCCAGTGTGGCCAGAATCTGTCACTCACACAGAATGTCAACTCCAGTTATAGGGTGAAGTGGCAAAAGCTAAGAGATGACAGAAGTAGCCACGTAATGGCAGTAGAGGACAAGCATGCTCTATACGCCAAAAATACACAGGGCCCAACCGTAGACCTATGGGTCCTTATTCACCTTCAGACAGAGAGACCAACTGCTGACTGTACCACAGTCCTGATAGGCCATTTCAGTCTCCTTGGCATATAGATGGAGGACCATCTTTAGACTCCCTTGGGTTAGTGGGAGGATTAGTGTACCCAGTCCAATAATGGATGGAGGTAGTGATGCTGGCCACTTGGGCTATGCAAACCGGATCAGCCACATTGGATCATTCAGTCTCATCTGGGCATGTACTTTCCCATGGGCATTCACAATGGGTACAAAAAATGTCATGCAAGGCTAAATCAGAGACTTTCCAGAGCACACAGCTCTGGAGAGGGGTGTCTTTAACATACTTGTCACTGTCAATCACTAGCTAGGTTGCTAGGCAGAACCCCAAAACAAGTGAAGCTTGGCATGCTTGGTCATTAAATATATTGCCTAAGGCAAGGGCAATGCTTTCAATTTAGACAGTTTGCTGATGGGTTCTACCCCTGTACGTCTTTCAGGGCTGTAACTGGGGCTGATGGCTGGTGCCACACAGTGGACTCCATCAGCTTTTAGTTGGCATGAGCCTTCAGTAACCAGGCCCAAGCATCCTCAGGGCTTCCTGGGAGGCATCTCCAGGTAGCCAAAGGCTGTCCCTGTGAGTCATCAAGGAAGATACAATGGGTCCCGGAGGATGTGGCCTCAACCTTATTGTGTAAAGAGCACTCATCTGAGTGACCAGACTTGTTGCTCTGGAATGTTCCATTTGCATTTTTTATGAGAAATCTGTTTGCCTTTCCACCTCTGTCTTTAGCATCTGAGGGGATCAATGCAGCATGGGGATACCTGGACACAACCTGGCAGTCCTCTCTAAAGCACTTCGTCTCCACAAGGGCCCAAGAGCAGGCCAGGAGCTCTTTCTTAAGTGGAGTAGAGCTGGAAGCCATGTTGTCAAGAAGTCGGTACCCTAAGGGGTGGCTGGGCAGAGGCTGCCTCCCTTTGCCAGAGGCTGCACTCAGAGTAGTTCTCAGTATCAGACACCAGATTTCACCAAGATCCTTGGGATTAACAGGGCTCCGGGGTAGGTAGCCTGGGGACTCCCTCTCCCGTAGCTGCTACCCAGCCCCCAGGTACGTTTGGCAGATTTTCTGGGCAATTAGACACCGGGCTCAACAAAATACCTGGGTGAGGTACTTGTTGCCTCCTGTCCCCAAACAGTCCAACCAAGCCTGGGCTTCCTATTTTTGTCGTGGGGTCTGTAGGGTGAGTAACTTTTCCTTTACTGTCTCAGGAATCAGCCTCTGAGCCTCAGCCCACAGTACTCCCAAGGACTGACTTGGATGGCGCCCTGATCTCCTCAGGACTAACAAGTCGGGGTCTACTCCTAAGCTGCTGCCACCCGCTCTTCACTGGAGCCTCCTCTGGTAACTAAATTGAAAACTCAGGATGCTGCCACCATTGCTGTCACCAGTGTAGACTCCAGCCCCTCTGAGGGATTGGAACACCCTAGAAAGGGTGGCTGCCACTCACTGCAGAGAACTTTTGGGCCCAGAAGGAGTTTATTGGATAAATATCCAAAGGAAAATAAAATGGTCAGTTGCAGACAAAAGACAAAAGAAGGAAAAAAGAAAAAAAAGGGAAAATTTTAGCTTCCTGGAGATGTGCCATTCTAAAAGGTTTTGTTTAAGAGAAAATAAAAGAAGGGAGGGGCCAGGTACTCATTATGCTGCAGACAGGGGCTCCACAGGGAGGGGCTGCTGCAGGAGGGTCCCTTTCCCTCTCGTCTTTTCCTCTTATCAGCCAGACTCAGAACCAAAAATTCGGGCCTAAAGTCTACAGCAGAAAAATATCCCAGAATACAGAGGGAGAAAATAAAAGAGAATTTAATAAGTTATATATATATGTATATATACATATGTATGTGCGTACATAACTAAATTAAAACAAAAATCTATAATTTAATTTAATGAGAAAACCATGATTTTTATAGTAAAATTTTATATAAAAATTATATATAGAATTACATAAAAAACAAAAAGTACTTCCAAAAAGAATTTCTAGAACTGTGGTATAATACAAAATAAATAGTTGATGTTTGTCCCTGGTTCCTGGCACACGGCTCCTATAAACCTTGGACCCTCTGGGGTGATGAGAGTGTCTTTTGTGTACTGAGGCTATGACTCTTGGCTGAGGGCCCCTGGATAGCTTCAGGATGGGAGATGGTGTCCGGAAAGACTAAACCACACGATTACAGGGTTGGAAAACTCCACCTCACTCCCTCACCTCCTGGGATGGGAGAGAGGCTGGAGATTTTGAGCTCATCCCCAAAGACAAATGATTTAATCAATCATGCCCACGGCCATGATACTTCCATAAAAATCTCTAAATGACGGAGTTTGGAGGGCTTCCTGGCTGAACACATGGAGGTGCTGGGAGGGTAGTGCACCTCAGAGGGCATGGAAGCTCCATGCCACCACCCCACCACCCCCACCCCCTGCCCTATGCATCTCCTCCATTTGGCTGTCTCTTTACAACAAACTGGTAACAGTAATTAAACAATTTCTTGAGTTCTGTGACTCTTCACAGCAAGTTATTGAACCTGACGGGGGTTGTGGAAACCCCGGAATTTGTAGTCAGGCCAACAGACACGTAGGCAGCCTGGGCACCCCCTTTGTAGCTGCCATCTGAATTGGAGCCAGTCTTAGGGGACTGAGCCCTTAACCTGTGGGGTCTGCACGAACTCCAGGTCGTGTCAGGATTGAATGGAACTGTAGGACACCTAGTTGATGACAGAGAGTCAGAGAAATGTGTTAGGAAAGAGACCATGTACTTGGTGTGTGTGGTGGGGGGACCACTCAATGACAAAAAAGATTAAAAAAGGAGTGGATTGGCTTTTGTGCCTCTACAACACAGGTTCTAAATTAACTTTTGCATTGAGTAAAATGCACCAACTGACAGAAGTCCGTGGACTCAATCACTACCGGGCTCAAATTATAGTTATATCTGGGGGTCCCAATAAATTTAAACATTTCATCCCCTGTAACCTTAAGAAGCAACTAAACACAAAATAGAAGAAAACAGGTAGGCCTCCCTTAACTGCAGCCTTGCCTAAATTTGCTGTGGTCACAGCACTCATTGCCCTAGAAAGGCCGCACTGGCTGCAGATGCTCTAACATAATGAATAATCAATTAAAACTAAAATAAGCCTTTGACGTTCATAAATTTTCTTCACAGAATGAGATTCAATGAGTCTCTGTTAAAACAGTTAATATGGCCCAGTACCAGTTAAAACAGAGCCTCCAAGGATTAAACCTGATTATATAAAAACTCATTAATGAAGGGGTGATTACCCCCACCTCTCTATTGACAGCCCAATGTGGCCTGCTTTAAATCTGGAAAAAATTAAGGGCACCACGTGGTGGATTACTGCAGCTTTAATGCTGTGTTCCCATCCACGAGGGCCCTCAGAGCCAATATCCAATATTATTCAATTACTCACCCTACCCAGTCAACAACCGATAAACGTGTTGCTCTTACAGGTTCGGCTGACATGCTCTGCTCAGCGCCTCTTGCAACAGCCTCTCAGCTGCACTTTGCCTTCGCCTCCAAAGGGACACCATGTACCTTTTCCACCACCCTTGGAGCACTTCAGCGGCTTTGTCATCACACACAACAAGATCCTAACAGCATCTATCACCCTCCAGGAGCACAGGGATGACATTACATTGATGACATTCTCCTCCAAGGAAATTCATTTGATACACTCATTATGGACACACAAGTTCAACATCTTTTATCCCTTTGGGATTCAGGCGGCAACATTCGTTTACAAATTTTCTTCCAAGTTAAAATCAACAGGCACTTCCCTTAGTCTCTCACAGACTCCTTCATGTAGAGGACCTCTTCTCATCCCCATGGATTCTCTGGACCATTTATGAAGGCCATAGGCTGGCCAAGCGCTCTGATGCAAGACACTGCCCCACACCAAGACACACGCTACACACCATTAAGACAACAAATGACTGGCTACCTACTGGCCTCTTCAAAAAGTAGAGCCTTTCACAGACCTTGGGCCTGTGACCCTCCACATCCAGCTGTCCCTCATATTTTGAGTCATGGAACCCAGCACCCCACAATCTTGGCACAGATTCTAAAGCCTCCCTAAGACAGGAGGGAACCAAAGCAGTGCCCTCTGGTTTATTCCACCAGCAGGATGAGAGGCTTCCCCTGTCCCCAGTGCCTGGCCAGAGGCCTTGCTGCTGGAGGAGTTCACCCCTCCCAAGACCCCTTGGCTACCTGAGAAGTCCCTTGAGATTGACTGAGTGAACAGCAATGGATATTCGTAGACTAGGCACATGGTATACATGATGGAGCTCAGTGGACTGTTGCTTTCCATCCCCAGCCAGGATGTCCCTGAGAAAGTCTGAACCAAAGAAACAACACACCTGGCCAGACTTCAAGCCGTCGTTTTAGTCCTGGATGCCTTGGCTGATAAGTGGCTCCATCTTCACATTTATAATGAGCTGTTGGTCCATGGTCTAAAAATTTCCCCATGTGGAATGAACAACTCTGGGAATCTCTTGCCTCACAGATACCCAAAATGTCAATCCAAATCACCCATATCTCTACATATACTAAGGCCACAACACAAAGCCATGCCAGGACACTGTGTATGCCCTTCGGAGTTACAGACATTACTCATAGTGAGCGAGGCACACGTTTCACCTGTCAAAATGCACAAAGCTGGGCGCTTGGAAGAGGCTTCAATAGAACTGTCAAGTCCCTGATAGTTCCCAGACCGCCCGCGTCATTGAGACACACTGGTCTCCTCATACAACTTGTTAGAATGTTCCAGCCCAGCAAATAAGCCTCTAAATGAGTTTCTATTTAGCCTCAGGACTTATCTGTTTTTATAAATTTTCTATCTTGCCTCATCCCACAGGGTTTGGAGGACAGATCGAGGGCACATATTCTTCTGAAATCCACACATTGTCCCAGAGCCGGGTAGCTGCTCATGTGACATGGGACTGATTTGAAACTACAGTTCCACCAAAAACAAAAACAGGTTAAGTCCGGCTGCACATCGTTCTGTCGACCGTTGGTCTGTTACCCCAGTCTAGGGACTTTCATCGGTTTGCAATCCAGAGGCCCAAACCCTCCAAATAAGCCATTGTTTCTGCCTAACATGGCAAATGCTTAGAGCCACATCAATTCGAGTGGGTACCCACTTGGAAAGGATACCCCAGTTCCACATCCCAGATGACGTCATCTGGCCCAGGAGGTCACTGCTGAAGATGGCATAGCCCCTACCCAAGACCTCACCTTGCCCCCACCCCCTGTGACAGAGACAACTTCATCCTGATCTAAAATCTCTGCCCCAGTGTTGCCCAAGGACTGCATCTCCTAAGGCACAAATTGGGCACAGGACATTTTTTGATTTTCTTCCTTTGATATTAGGAGTTCTATTGTGCTCTGAGCTCACTGTCTGCTTAGCTCATGATTCTGGTGTACTCCTTGTTCTCTGCCAAAACATACTCGCCTACACTGCCATGCCTAAAGGGGAATCTGGTAGAGGTCACTGCTATCTGTGTCACTGTAGAAATTAATGGAGATTATTACTTTCCCCAGGAGACACCAGCCTCATATCAGTCAAACCCCTCAACTCCCTGGGGAGAGGACCACTCACTCCTCTGCGCCTTCCCCTACTACCCTCTTCCAGCTTACCAACACAACCTCAGGGCTTGTGTCTTCAATTGTAAACACCATCACCATTCCTTCTTCTTAGTTACACACAATACCACTAATCATGACATATACTTTATTATCAGTTCATACCCTACAACAACATACCTGCTGGAGCTGCCACCTTCACCCAAGAAATACACCAAGACATTATTGTCAAACTCATACTTTCGATAGTTTCCAGTTCCACCAACGTATTATTAGAGACCCCCCCAAATTCCAGATCTATTTTCTTGGATTATGTCATATAAATAGAAACCCTATTTGTGGGCTTCTCTACAAGGACCCCATATACCACTACTTGTGTTCCTCCATGCAAATATCATAACAAAACATTTTATTTCCAGTTTGGGGCAACTTATGCCAAACTCCCTAAAAATCTCCATGATCATCACACCTAGCATCCTTAGTATAATATCAAACAACAGAAGACAAATGGAATTAATCATGTCTTTGTATTCTGTATCTTACAACGTTTTGATTTCGTGGAAGGCTTTACAAATCTGAGGAGAGCCTCTCCTCCCAGGGTCAGTTAATTCCTAATGAGAATAAACAACTTTACTTAGTTATATTAAACTTCCAATAAATTCCTGATTTGGTTTCTGTTGATTTCAGTTTCTCTCTGTTATTAGGATCAGAATAATCCTGACAAACCAAAATCCAATTCCATCCAATAAATATTTACTAAGTGCTTTCTGAGCTTCATGCTTGAGCTCTGGGTGAGAGATGTCACTCCCCATAATGATGATGGTGGCAAGCACCAGAATGAACCACAGAAAAAGGACAAATTAACTATAATAATGGTGAAGTCTGTAAAAATTTTTGAGAACCCAGATGACGAATTATGAATTCTGTCGTGGACACAAGGAGTCAGTAGAGAGAGAAATTACCAGGTAGATAAGGGCAGAATGGAATTTTAGGCTAAGATAACAGTTTGGCCAAGGCAATGTCACCTGAAACTACTGGATGGGGGGTGGGGGGGAGCAGGCAGAGTAGACAGGCAGAGGTAGCTGGAGCCCAAGGATATGTGTGTAGGGTGTGCTGGGTACTGACCTTGAAATGGCTGGGATCACGAAGGGAAAGTCCTCATATGTCAGACTGAGAAATTTGGATCTCATTCTGTAAGCAGATGAAAAACAATTAGAGGCTTGGGGCTGGAAAGTGAGGACATGTCACCAACAGCAATGATCAGATAGTGAGCTGTGGACTGTGCAGACCAGTCTTGAGGGCGGAAGGCAAATCATATTCACCTTTGCATCCCTACAGTGACTCATACTGCACTTTGCATAGATCGCTTACTGAATGATGATTCAATAAACATAGTCTTTTTCCTCAAGCTGTTCAGTTGTCTCTTATCCAGTTGCAGACTCCTGAGAAATTCTCTCTGCCACTGGCAAGATTAGATGTCCCCACCCTGAGCACCCCAGGCTTCCCTCCAACACAGCAATTACTCATGATTGAGATCCTTGTCTTTCTCCCTGAGGGCAAGGACCTTGTCACCTTGACTGCATTCTAGTCAATGACAGAGAGAGCCTGGGACATTAGGTGCTTCATGAGTGCTGTTTGGACGAATGGAAGAATGAGTGAATGACAGAATGAATGAATGAGTGGCAGAATGAATGACATCTGTTCAGAGACTGGCCTTGTTCTCCTAGAGCCACCCAGTGTCCTCTTCCTCTGCCGTCCCTGTCCTCCCCGAAACAGCCCACAGCAGCTGAGAGCGTTTTGCTCTCTGAGCCGTCTTCCCGGGTGCCCTCACAGGCCTGTTCAGAGCTATTTCCTGATGCCTTTCATCTAACACCTTCACCTCTTCATCCGACAGCAGCTGCAGTTCACACGTACGTGGTGACTCGCAACACTAACTCAGAGAAATGCATGGTCTTCTCCATTTTCCAGCTTCCCAGGGTGGCAGCTGGCCCTCTTTGACAAACAGATTAGACACTGAAAATCCCAAAGGAAGCCTCCCTAGGACTTCTTTCTGCCCCACGATGTGGAGATGACAGGTGTGCATACATGTGCGTATCCATGTGAGATGGACCTGCATGAAGTGTGCGTATGTGTGTGTGTGCAAATGTGTGTAGAGGGACACAGCCATCCATGTGCTTCGGAAACTTTATCCAAAAGGAGCAGACTTCTTTAAAAGATGTATAAGATGTTTTAGAGTGATTTCCTTTAAAAAGAATTGTGGAAAACTAGACATGATCAATGAATTCTCCATGTGGAGAGTTTGTTATAATACACTTAGAAAAATTATTTTTAAATTAATGCACAAGGCTTTGAAACAACTCTATTACTTGGGGAAAAAACCCTAAATATTATCATAAGTTCAATCTATTCAAAATTCTGATATTCTACCATTTTTACCAATCACAAACAGTAATTTCCTTTTGTTTAATTTAATACAAAAACATGAGTTACTTTTTAGATGCATTCAGAAACAGAACCAAGTGGTGCACACGGCTTTGAACAAAATGGGTTCAATATTACGGGGTGTGACCCAGGACATTCCGTTAAGATAAATAAACTTTAATAGATTTTCAGTTTGCATTCACACCAAATGCTGTGCCATCAACTCCTCTCTGTCTCCATTGTTCTAAAGTCAACTTTAGCGCTATGTATCTTTGATTTGTTGTACAGGAATTCTGAAATCCCAGGACTACGGAGCATTTTGAATTTGGAATGTCAACACTTTTCAGTAGGTCTAAGAGGAATGCTTTCTGCCACCTCCTTAGATTTTAGCTGATGTTTGTTTAGTGGATTTTCTCATTTTCCGACAATCAATAAGTTGTTATTGCATTTGACTTGACCCAACAAATAAATACCACTTTGATATCTCAGCTCAGCATTTTGTCTGTACAAGAGGTCACTTCGAAGGAGGGACTGATTTTTGACCCCTTTTGGCCTGTTAAAATGCACACTTATGACTCATCTCAGAACAAAATCGCAGCCACTGGCATAATCTCGCAGTGACGGAACCCAGGGGCATGAACCCTCTAAGTCAAGCAACCATATGGTAGTCACACACTAAAGTGAAATCAGCTTCTGAACTTGAAGTCACCTGCCAGTGACCAGACTGCATGAAACATGCATTCAGCTACCAGCCTTAACCCATGGCTGGTTTCCAATTGTGACCAACTTCCTATAGAAGCCCCAGAAGGAAAGCTGCTCTCCATCATGCAAATCTTGGATGAAGAGAAGAATGGTACAGCCTCAACCTAATCATGAGAAAATGATGAGACAAATCCCAAAGGGAAACATTCTCAAGACATTTGACCAGAACTCCTGACAACTCGCAAGTTCATCAAAAACAAGGAACATCTGAGAAAACGTCCCAGCCAAGAAGGGGCTAAGGAGCCGTGACTCCCACCTGTCAAGTGGAATCCGGATGGGATACTGGACAGAAAAAACTATTAGGGCTTGAAAATGTATGTCCACACCAAAACCTGCACGTGAATGTTCACAGCAGCTTTACTGATAATTGCAAAACAACGGAGCAAATGAGATGTCCTACAGGAGGTGAATGGATAACTACCCTCTACATCCAGACAAGGAGATAATATTCAGTGCTAAAAGAAAATGAACTATCAAGCCATAAAAAGACAGGGAGGAACTTTAAAATTGTATTATTGAGTGAAAGAAGCCAATGAGAAAAGAATAAATTCTGCATGATTCCAACTATATGACATTGGGAAGGTAAAGCTAGGGAGAAAATACAAAAAAGATTGGAAACATCCAGGGATTCAGGGGAGGGAGGGATGAACGGTGAGTGCAGGGGATTTGTAGGGTGGTGAAGCTACTCCGTATGACCCTATAAGGGTGCATTTGTGTCATTAGATAGTTGTCAGACCCATGATTGTACAACAGCAAGAATGAACTACAATGGCAACTATGGCCTTTGGAGGATAACGATGTGTCTATGAGGTTCATCAAGTATAAGAAACGTACCGCTTTGGTAGGAGGTGTGGACAATGTGGGTGGAGCAGTTGTGTGGGGCCAGGGGGATATGGAAACTCTGTACTTCCTGCTCAGTTTCAATGTGAACCTAACATGCTCTAAAAAATAGTGTCTACTAATAAGTAAACAAAGAAATTATGAGTGAAACCTAAGGAAGTCTGCATAAGGTATGGACTTTAGCAAAAATATAGCAATATGGGCTCAATAGCTTTTATAAATATGCCAGTTAATGCAAGAGGTTAGCGGTAGGGGAACCTGAGTGAGATGATGGGCAAGGAGCTGTATTTACCATTTGTCTGTCAATCTAAAACTATTCTAAGATTTTTTAAAGTTTTTAATAGAATGAGAGGAATAGGCTGAGAAAAATAGAGGAAGAAGAGCAGGGAGTTTTCCAATGTATGGGTACATAAATCATTTCTAATAAAAATTCTAGAAGGGGCTCTCACTGAATTCTTCTCTAATTGTGTAAGGCACTGTGATAAGCACTTTTCTCACCCCTCATTTAAGAATAACATAACCCTATGAGGGAAGTACAATTCTCCCTTGTTTACAGATGAGGTGATGACATTACAGGTTTTAGGAACTTGCCTACAAAGTTTCTTACCTTCACAGTGCTTTGGTTGCTGTATCTGTAGAAATGAAGTCATAACAGTGTTCCTGTGAAATGGCAGTGAGGGAAGTTTGAGAATGAGGCCTGGGATGCAGAAGCCTTGTGACACTGACACTCATCATCAGTGTCCTCCTCCTCCCCCTCCCCATCATCACCATCTAGATATCATGGGAGTAAAGTCAGTATCTTTAGTCTCACTTTGCTCAATTGTCAAACGGGAGTAATGTCCCACTGGTTTGACGGAAGGATACAATTAATTTTTCTAGGTGAATACTTCTCAACTTCAAATCCTCAGTAAAGAGACAGTCTCGAGGACAACAAGGCAGTAATAGGGTCTCTGGTTCCTTGCCCTCCTCCTGCCTACTTTCCTCTCCACAACATTGCTTCTCTTTCCTATCTCCCCTGCGGGGTTGGTTGGCCAAAGACAAATCCCTTCTCAGACCAATGGAAGACACAAAACCCTGGGCTACAGATCTGCTCGCTTTGCTCTTCCTCTAGGGTCATTGATGCTCAACCAGGACATGAAGGACAGGTACGTCTGCAGTGTCAGTCCCCTCCCAATACATGTGCAATTTCTTGTGTAAAGCTTGTGGCCACTCTAAGGTGTGAGTTTGCTCACTCTTCTGTGTAA